AAGTTGCAACTACGTTGGGGAAACCGGCCGACGGCTGCAAACGCGAATGCACGAGCATAAGTTGGCCGTGCGAAGGTTGGACCCAAAGTCGGAGGTAGCAACCCATGCCGCGCAAATGGGACACATCTTCAACTTTGACGCCGTTGAGATTGTGGGCCGAGGCAGCGATCACACAGCAAGGCAAGTGCAAGAAGCCTGGATGTCCACCGACCGCTCTGTCAACCGCCACATCAATTTGCCTCCCCCTTATCTGACTTTACGAACCTTCTTAGCGGGGGACAGTCACGGCGCGGGACAATCGGGGCCGTCAGTCATCACCGCGGCCGACGGGGGCGATTCAGGTCACGGTGACATGCGCGTTGGATGCAGCCACACAGGCGGCATTGGCGGATCACGCATTGGACAAAGGGCGCCATAAAAAGGAGTGCTGTGCACAGGACCTCCCAGTCCCTGAAGATGGGTAGACGTGTAAACTACCCGAAACGTCGGATCTCTAATAAACCCCTCCCGGAGAACGCCCACTCTTCTTTTGATATGCCACCTGGGAATCGGATTTTCACTACTATTGACACTTCAGAACTTCGGTTAACATGTCATGAAATAGCACGTCTAATGTATGTATGCATTACTAGCTGTATATTTGCAGGTTATAATATTACATAGTTATTCCGCTGGGCAAGATGGACTTCGGCCCAAATATTCATATCAACTTTTAACCTGAACATATAAGCCTCAAAAGGATACGAAGGCACGATCACTGGGATTGTAGATTTACTAGCCTTAGCTCTCGAACATGAACTGGAGTTTACCGTCAGAGACTGCTAGAGTGCAGCAACGTATGAACATTTATATCGCTGTGCCGTGAGGGTGGAGACTATGTCCGTGGCTAGGTCTAGTTTGTGCTGCCTGGTCCACAATGGTCCCCCGGCGTGGTGACGCCGTTTGTACTTCGCGGCGATGTGAACTGCGCCACCTGGTTGCGCGGGCTGAGTGCATGATAACACGCAGGCAAATCGATGTGTCTGTTGATAGAGTTGGTGTCCGACACCCACGCCTACAACAGTTCTTGACCCGTCTTGTTGCCGGCTCGCGCGTTGGCGAAGCCGAACTCATGGCCTTCCTCCAGCGTGTGAGTGGCGACTTGAGATAGTGGGTCGCCTTTCCGAACGGCCCGTTTGTGCTCAAGTATTGGTGAGCTGAGACGTCGTCCTGTCTGGCCTGTGTAGTGGCAAGGACAGTTATGGCACGGGATTTCGTAGACTACGTCCGACTGTTCACTTGCGTTCAGCCGATCCTTCATTTCCATGATCCTGCTACGCATGGGAGCCGCCGGATGATGAGAGATGCCCACGCCTAACTCTGACGCAACGCGTTCTGTGGCCTCGGACACATTCTTTATGTACGGTAAGAAGTGTCAAACTGTTGGTGTCCCTCTTTCCTTTGTCCGTCATGGGTGCGTGCGAATGCAGCGGCTGATGAAACTATTTGGGCAGCCGTTCGTTGTTAATTGGTACCTGAGATGCCGTAGTTCTTGCATCCTTCCTTCGGGCTTGTTACAGTGCGTGTTTACCCTGTCGAAAAGCGCCCTCACACAGCCCCGTTTATGTGCCAATAGGTGGTTCCTGTGATAGTTGAGGACTTCGATTGTATTGGCCGCCTTTCTGTACACTGTAGTGCCGAGTTTGCCATAATGTGTGCGTGTGACGGTAACGTCGGGGAAGATGCTTTTAAGCAGGTCTTGAAAACCCGATAGCCTGCCCTTTTGAATAATGACGAATGTATCGTCCACGTATCGGCGCCAAAATGCAGGTTTGTAGTGCCTGAAAGCAATCTTTTGCAGCTCTTGTAGGACCAATTCCGCAACTACAGTGCGTGACCTATCTCATGAAATGTTGGCTGAAATTCTGAATAGCGTTTTCGATTCGGAAGGATTACTTGGTCGCGGTTGTGATACTAATTATCTTAAGGCATACTCTTATAACATTTTGGACTCGGCAGGATGTCTGCTTTTAAATGCACTTCTTTTCAATCTCCTGTAGAAAGCGTGCTTGGAAAAAATGACTACTTAAGTAGCATGCATTTTTCCCATTGATTTTCGATGGTTTTCGAAATCCAAATATACTTTGTAGAAACGACAAACAAAAGTGTGCTTTCTTTCAGTCAATCAATAGAGAATCACGTCTTCTTTATATTTTTTACTTAAGGAAGGAGTATAATTAGGTTTTAAAAAGTTTCTAATTATTAGACTTTTTAAGACCGCGATATGTCCATTCACATAGCATCGTACCTGGCCGTCTGCCACTGCTCCTCATGAAATGTACAACATGGTCGCATCCATTGCAAAATTTTATGGACTCTGTATGATATCTCTCTAATGACATAGAAAAATATGGGATTTTCTTTACGCGGAACGCATGCACCTTGTAGAGTGTAATCACTAAGCGCTAATGCAACTAATGATCAGGCTCCAAATTTTTCGGCACTCATAAAACTTTTGTAAAACCTAATTATACTCCTTCCTTAAGTATAAAATATAAAGAAGACGTGATTCTCTATTGATTGACTGAAAGAAAGCACACTTTTGTTTGTCGTTTCTACAAAGTATATTTGGATTTCGAAAACCATCGAAAATCAATGGGAAAAATGCATGCTACTTAAGTAGTCATTTTTTCCAAGCACGCTTTCTACAGGAGATTGAAAAGAAGTGCATTTAAAAGCAGACATCCTGCCGAGTCCAAAATGTTATAAGAGTATGCCTTAAGATAATTAGTATCACAACCGCGACCAAGTAATCCTTCCGAATCGAAAACGCTATTCAGAATTTCAGCCAACATTTCATGAGATAGGTCACGCACTGTATGCTGGATATTGGGGAACCCATGGGTGTTCCTTTGATTTTTTCGTATGTTCTGCCATCGAAGGTGAAAAAGGTTCGTTGGCAGAATACAAAGAGCTGCATTAGGTGCTGGATCTTTAGGGGTCCTGTCGTTTCGTCGTACTTTCCTTAGAGGTGTTTGCGTAGCACTCGCGCCAAGTCTGGTGGGATGGACGTGAAGCGTGAGACAACGCCGAAGGATTGGTCGGGTCGAATATTTTTTCCGCGAATGTCGGCAAGGAATTGGGAAGCCGATGTGACTGACGTCACACAGCCCTCTCGGAGAAAATTGAGTTTTCGGGACATCCATTTGACTAGATTGTATGCGGGGCTGCCTTTCAGGGCAACGACTGGCCACAGAGGAACTGGTTTACTCCAAGTTAGCAAAGAATTACCGCGGAAATTAAAAATCTGCTATCTCTAAACTGGAGATTCAACTAGAAAGTACACAGGGAATGGTGGAGGACCCCATTGATGAACGGAACCCCTTTGCGGCTGTGCCAATTAGCGACAGAATATCGGTGGAACACGTGTCTGGAATTTTAGCTAGTGCCTGTACTGCCAGTTATGGAACATCGTGCATATTGCTGTAAATGAACTGTAAATTAACTACTTGAGTTTAAACGTTGTAAACGCCGACGTCCACAACGTGCCCAACAGAGGGCGCATTTCGCCACCGACTCATTAGTATGATTAGGGATCTGTAACATGTCAAATGTAATTTTTCAAAGTCCACGAACTGGTTATATCCTATGGATATTAGCACCTGTAGGCATTCAGTGAACTAGTAAAGTGTGTCATTAGATCTAACACTTCGCAGACGGGCGGATATTTCGGTATCTAGAGAGTGCAATCTTCAGTCACTTAAAGCACAAGGAACAGGCTGTGCTTTACTAATATTTGGGGGCCAATTTACGACTGCCTTAGTGGAGTAAAAATAAGTAGTTGGCATAAATTTTCAAATGCTATCAACTTTCACAAAAAAAACAACCAAAGCAGATTACATTTAAACATAATTTTATAGTTGAAGGTGCCGCACTCACCAGGTTGCGCAACGAGCTGCTTTCTTATGTATTGGGACTCATTCTAAAAGCCTGGGAGGTATACAGTTGGCGACTAGTAGTATTAACAAATAAGGAGGTGTCGAGAAACACAAAGGAGATGGAAATGGTCGTTTCTGGTTTGTTTGCTGTTGTTGGCCAGCCATACATAGCACCAGATTCAGGACGCCCGGTTATTTGACGACGGCTAATCCGTCAGAAATGCAGCCTGCTAATTTCTTAGTAAGCATTTCAAAAAGTGCTAAAAATGAGGTACTCCAAAACAAAACCTTTTGCTGTTGCATGGGAATAATATCAAAATGGCATCATTTGTGACAATAAAATGAATAAAACACAAGTCCCCAATTTATTCTGAGAAATTGTAATGGGTTTGTTAAACGCTCATGGAGAATATTTGTGGAGATCGATGGGAGCGGAAAAAAATTTAGCCAACGTCCAACCCTACACGAATTAGCGTGATATGCTGTGTTTATCGGCACTGTAAATTCCTGAACCCAAATATCTCCTTGCCCAAAGTTAATCAAGACTTTTCTGTATTTTCTTTTACTGAGATTGTGTAAGTTTAGCATACAATGGCATTCAATATAGCATGCAATAGGCAAGCATATTATGGCATAATTGCATGTCATATATCTCGGTCAAATTATAGGCCTCTGCATATTCGCTGATTATAACTTTAATTCGTTGTAACCACCCGTCTGCTTTTAGCTTTCAGTACGGTAGGAGAGAAAACTGCAATATTGAAAATCCTTTTCTAAATTATTTGAAAATAAGGATTAATAGCTTTTGTAGGACAGCTGTTGGCGCATTTTTGATGTTTTTTGGAGTCAACTACCACACAATAAACAACTTAACAACTAAAAATTGGTGCTGAGTCGTCATCTCATGCGTTTTAAGAAATGCATTTACAAATAAAATAACACGAGTCGTATTGTTCAGTATTCGGTGGCTCAGTTCTACAAAGATCTGCATGCCCTGCTGACAACTGTGCAGAAGCCGGAGAAGCCGACCGTTCTTGGTAACTTCGGCGTCCGCGTCGGGACTAATCACGATGTCTGGGTGGAATGATGGGTCTCCATGTTCTCGGCGGCTCCAAGGACAACGGCCTCCTCCTTCTTCGGACCTTGGCGGAATACTACCTCATCCCCCTGATTACCATCTGCTGTGACGCAAAAGAGGACAACGAGAATGCTCACCCTCCCCGATCGCGATGCTGGCAGTCTCTGGACTGCGTTCTCGTCCACAGTCGAAATCGATGGGACGTGAAGGTGACCAAGACGATCTGCGACACGGACGACGAGACTGAACACCGCTTTGTCCTCTCCAAGATGAGGCTGCAACTGCAACCTCTCAAGTGACCGCAAAGTGAGCGATTATCGGGAAGGTTAAATACTATTTTGTTGAACTTGTCCGCTCACCGCTCAGAGTTCAGCTACCAACTGGCCCAGCACTTAGAAGAGCTACAAGCTCTGGATACACAGTGGTGTCAATACGAAAAGTCATTTGCTCCACAACCATGGAGTCCTCGAGCGCGCACGCTGCCAACATTACAGATGGCTAAACTATAACCATTTCTACCTGCTCCCCGAAAAGAACAGGCTTCACACAGGCTACGTTAGTCGTGGGACCGACGCAAACAAAATATCCTTCTTCAGCAGTTGACGCCAGTTGAAGCAGCGACTGCGGGAGATGCGAAATGCTTGGATGGATGGCGGGGCTACGCAGACCGCAACGACATGAAGAGTCACCTTGCGTCGGTCGAGGTGGTCTACGACTCCCACACCCGAGGAACAGCGCCGATGCTCAGCTCCAAAGAAACGCTGCTCCTCACGGAAGCACTGGGTCGAATGCCTCGAAATGTTATGTCATGAAACTACACCACCGTACCTGCATCCGCAGCCATGTCGTTTGCTCGATAAGACACCTCTCGATTCAGATTGGCAAAGTTTAGAGATCCGGGTGGAATATTTGAAGAAGAAGAAGAAGAAGAAGATGTGCTCTCAAAAACAGGTTTATTTAAATACTGCCGATACTCTCCCTATTCAATATATCCCTGCTGATAATACAGCAGTCTCACTTTCTACAGATGAACATGGGCTTTTATTTAGATCGAGATTAGGCATCACAGTTCAAAGAGGGAGGTTTTGCTATATGATCTAGAGCTACCGGCCGGAGCACCCTCGTGAAAGGTCCGCCCGACGGAATGGTGACTCACAAAGCACGCAGACAAAACGCCCGTCAACCATCATCCGAGAGGCCGAGGCAGCGAGAGGAGAGAAAGATCGATCAGGATGAGGCCGACCAACACAACATGCCGCTTGAAATTTCTGATGGATTAAGTGCATTTTACGTTTTGACAATGTAGAGCCGACCAAGTTCTTTGAAACTTCAGCATTTAAATAAGCCTGTTCCGGAGAGCCTGTCTTATTCTTCTTCAAACAGCTCTACATGCTGGACTGCATGGGTAGTATTATGTAGTATCCATCGGTTCAGCAACCATTTCGCAGTCAAAATCCATTCAATTGAATTAAAACTGTGAACCAAGACAGTTACACAGCTGCGTCTTTAAGACAAAAGTCTGTTTCATCATCATGACTGACCCATTTATCAGAATGATACGATTCTCTATTAGCAAAATTATTCACTCGCAATCAGAATTCTGTGAAAATCGGTTTAACTAATGTCGAATTGTCCATTCACACCTGGTCCTACCCGAGTTTAGATCATGGGGGTCAGTGATGTTTACACTATAACATAAACATTTTCTAGTCCTGGCGCCGGATGGCCAGAGGTCGACCTCCAACCAATCAAAAGCTGTTGAGTGCCATTCAGCGCATTCAGTGCTCTGTGAAAGCTAGATGAGATGAATTGGACGCTACACACTAAAGGAGGCGTAAAATCTCTAAATAAATGTTTTAACTAAGGAAAGGTAGCGGCAGTGACCTGCACACTGGTTGCAGAGTTTGTAAACAGTTAACAATCCGTACGATGTGTGTTTGTGAGACCGCAGGCCAATCAGTTATTAACCACCGTAGTGCGAAATTCACAAAGAAACCTAACCGTGTAATTAGAACGCGATATAATAATGGTCCATGCTGTCTAAATTTTGGCCCCATGGACCACTCTGGCCGATACTTTCACTATTCAATCTGACCCTGCTAATAACACCGCAGTCTCGCATTCTGCAGACGAAAATGGATACTTATATAGATCGCGATTAGGCATAACAGTTCACAGAGGGAAGTTTTGCTATACGATCTATAGGTACCGGCCAGACCAGACTCACGAAAGGTCTGTGAAGGGCATATAAATTGAGTTTATAAATGGATAAGGATTAATGTGGAACCGACTAAGGGCTGTCTTCTCTCTCTAGCGAATAAGACGTGTTCCAACATTAAGTGGTCTACCATACGGGCAACACAGATACCAGCTAAAAGCCCAGGCACCCTTGTCTTGCCAATTGTTTACTGCTGCGCGACGCAGCTACGATTCATCATGTTCTACCACTTGAAATCGATCGTCAGCAAGTTTGCTGAAGAAAATATTTTAGTCCTATGTTCTCCTCTCAAGTAGGCTGACAGTATGCCAATTAATGGTTTTCAACATGGGGTAAGAGATGTAATCCAAGTCACAGGGAGACTCCTCCACTGGTTTATCCTATCGCAAATCAAGATCTCAATTATGAGGCCTGAATCACCAGCTGATTATAAGAAGTCAATCAGAAATGGTCACTTCAACGTCCCTTATTTCCGTCAAAAAGGAGTACCAATTAATGGGCTTTATAAGTTATGTGGTCGCCTGTGTATTCTCCAGATAACGGGCGACAGAGCACAGCAGAAATACCCGTTCCCGCGTTAGAACTTACAAGATTCGGTAAAAACCAGTCCTTGTTAACCTCGAAAATGTTCTTCCACAGCCGACACTAAGTGAGCCAATAACACAAGCAAGAAAATGTACGACTTAAAACGTCCGACTTCCAAATAAATGGGGATCAGATATTGACTATTCGGTCTGATATTGGTGTATCATTAACTGACAATACTTATATGCCAGAAATGGCATCCCTGGGTTCCTGGAGATTTCGTTGGTAAAATTTCCAAAACCTTGACCGGAGTAAATACGCTGCCGCCGACTTTTGACCGAATTTTTCCTCCCGCATGCAAAATATCGAGCAGTTCTTCAAGTTGTTTGCCCTTTCCGTTCATTTGAACATGCGAGAGCACAGATAAGTGAAGTAGTGTTTGTCCTATTTTTTCACTTAAAAATATTTTTTTTATTGAAATTTACTTGTAGTGATTTTTGTACCCTAACTCAAAAACCCCTTTGTTTTATCTGACCTTATATCTCTCACTTTTTGTGTGAAAAGTCGATTAAGTAGGTACTTTTGTTTTACTTGAAAAAATTAGGGTTTAAAGCTGGATTTCGAAGTGCATAAAAACAGTTGAGTTTATGTGACAGTATTAGGAAGTGGCTTACTTTTAGGCATACTTTGGAAATAAAATTTCAAGTGCTTAAAAACAAGGTTCCGCTGACACTGAATCACACTTACAGTACCTGTGCTAACTCATGAAATGCCGAGGTCAAAATTATAGTGGACAATGTAGTGTATTTTTGGTGTCGTTATTTGTGTTTATTTAGTTGAAATAAGGACGAAAAGACCGTTTTCTGAAGGAAAGTTTGATACGGATCTGTATATTAAATAGAAAACGGGCCGAATTTGGGCTAAATCGGAGGATTTCTGATATTCAAGCAGTGTCCTACGCTATTAAAGCTTTCGGATGGAAATTCTTTGTGTAACCTTATTAATCTGTTTAAGAAGATTAATAAAAGGACGAAATTTTTTAATAAACTTTCGAACAAAAAGAAAAAATTAAATTTCGATATCAACAAAATCAGGGAAATGCAGATAAATTATTTCTTATTGTGTTCAGGAAATAACGTGCGATTCTTTATCTAAAAATTCTATTTTACAAATTCATAAAGTTTTATGTTTCTAAATACCGAAATAAAAAATTTTATCAGTGTGATTGTTTTACCAGACTGAAAATGCGTGTCGTAAACGAATATATATTGAGTTCGCGCGACATGCCGTCACTTTGCTCTGCCACGCCAAACGATAACTATGTCTAAGCAATACTTATCCGAAGTTGACTTCCAGCGCATTCGAAAATTAGCGGCAGAGGGAATCCCGCGTGAGTCGTTAGCTAGTATTTTCAATATTAACAAGGTCACTCTGTGGCGTATTATTAATGATAAAACTGTTCCTAGAAATAAGATAGGGGGACCAATACGGTCCACAAGTAAGCAAGACGACGATTTTATTCGTCGTACATTAAAAAAGTTTCATTACATGCCCATTGAGACCATTCAGCGGGAACATCTGCCGATGTTTTCTATGAACATCATTAGAGAAAGGATAAAGGAATTTGAACTGCAGCGGCGGAAGGCCATGATTAAGCCATATTTAAGTAGAAAACTAATTAGAGAACGGCTTTTATTTGCTAAGAATTATATTGAATACATATCTTCATTTTGGAAAAGCATTTTCTTCTGCGATGAGGTTCTATTTTTAGACAAGCCTACGAAGTCGCTCCAAACCGTCATATGTGGAAAGAACTTCCCAAGAGAACACACTACACCGACGGCAACATTCAAGAACTGTCGGCGGATGATGGTTTGGATGGCGATTAAATTCGGTGAGCGGCCTGTCTGGCGGTCAACATCCGACACCATCAACAGCAAGGTGTTTATTGCACTTGTCAAGGATGCTTTCGGCTACAACGGCATAAGTCGGCGCCGAATGGATACTGTAATTTTGCAGGACAATGCACGTGTCCACCGCTCTAAAGAGGTACGAATTTGATGCCGCTTGCAAACATAATCTAACATTTTAGACAACAACCACGCTCTCCGCAATTGGCCTCCAATCCATTTTCATCCCGGCCAACAGTCCCGATCTGAATCCAATCGAAAATCTTTTTGGAATAGTCAAAAGAAATTGGCACAAAGCTAAGAAGACTCTTTCAATGCAGGAAAAATTGGATTTCATACTCAATAATTACATTTTACAATCCACCATAGATAACCTTGTCATGTCTATGTCGGACAGACTTTCTGCTGTTATTAATTCGAATGGACAATCTACAAAGTACTAATTTTTTGTATCTGTTTCTGTCCTTAATTATTTTTGACCTTTTATGCGCCCTCCTCCTTTATACGTCCTCATACGTAGCCTTTATTAACTTGGTTGTAATATAGGCGTTTCTCGAAAATGTGACTTTTGTTGAAAATTATTTATTTTTGTCTCAGTAAATAATATTTTCTTAACCAAATTTTGCTTTATTTCTTTGGCACATCG